ATTAGCTTTTATTAAAATTAAATATTACAAGCTTTATATAATAAATAAAATATTAAATAAGCACTAGAGGACTAAAAAAACATAATTACGTTTTAAAAACTTATTTAATATTACTAAAACTAAAATAATTTAAATAAAAAAAAAGGTTATTAATATTAAAAACGAAAATATATATTAAAAAAATATTTATATAAAAAGGGTTAAATCGCGTAAGCGGTAATACGGTAATTATAAAAAAACTAAATATAATATATGAATATATTAAATAGTTTAAAAAATTTTTAAAAAAAAAGTTAATAAGTAATTTTAATTAATTTCGTACGATATAGTTTAATTAATTTATATAAATAATAAAAGGGTATTTAGAAGTGGGCGACTCGTTATAATGGGCGATTTGCTATATATATATGTTAAGGGTTTTATAATATTATAACCCCCGGCGACTTATTAATATTAAAACGTTATAATAATTTTAATTTATTTATTATAATTATAATTATTTTTTTTATATTATTAATTTATAATAACGTATATATATAGCGAGTCGCTTATTATAACGAGTCGCCCACTTCTAAATACCCTCTTATTATTTATATAAATTAATTAAATTATATCGTACGAAGTTAATTAAAACTATTTATTAGCCTGTTCTTTAAAAATCTTTTAAATTATTTAATATATTTATATATTATATTTAGTCTTTTTATAATTACCGTATTACCGCCCGTGCGATTTAACCTTTTTTATATAAATATCCTTTTAATATATATTTTCGTTTTTAATATTAATAACCCTTTTTTTTATTTAAATTACCTCGGCCTTAGTAATATTAAATAAGCTTTTAAAACGTAATTATATTTTTTTAGTTTTTTAACGTTTATTTAATATCTTATTTATTATACGAAGCCCGCGGTATTTAGCTTTAATAAAAGTTAGTTTATATATTAATTTATTAATACTTTTAATTTATAAATTAATAACTTTATATAAATATATTAATAAGCTATATTAATAATTATAAATCCGTTTTTTAAATAAAATAGAGCTTTATACAATATTATATATTATAATTAGTATTTTTAAATCCTAAGAGCCTTAACTATTTAGGTATAAATTAAATAATATTAGCGTTTTTAATTTAAAATCTAAATAAAAAATAATTATTTTTAAATTAAAAAATATAATTTTAGCTTATTTAAAACTAGCTCGTACGTTTTTTTTACCTATTAAAATAAAAAAAGCTATTTTAAAAATAAAAAAGAAGTCGTTTTTAATAATATACGTAATTTATATTCGTATTATCTTTTTAATTTTTTTATTATATAAAGCTTTTAATAAGCTAAAATAACTAATATTAAAAAATTAAAACTTATATAATAAATAAAGAAATATATAAAAAGCGATAATACTACGCTTTTTATAATAATTATTAAATTTAATTAATTTATAATTATTATAATTATTAAAAATTAAGAGCCGTTTAATACCTTTTATATAAGATTTTATATATTTTTTTAAAATACTTTAGCTAATTTAAACCGATTTTATTTATAATTTATTTATTTTTGTTAAAGTAAATACGTTATTCGGGGGGGAATTAATTATTAATATATTATAAAAAAAATAATATTTATTTTTTACGATAATATACGGAGATAATACTTAGCTATTCGTATATATATTTTAAATAATAAAAACCTATTCTTAATTATTAAGCTATTTTATATAAAGCTTTTTATAACGATTAAAAGTTATAATAACTTTTATATACGAAAGTATTTTTATTAAAAAGCCCGTTTTATTAAAATTATAAATATTATAATCGTATATTCCGTATTTTATAATTATATTTTATATAAAGGTAAACTAAGCTTAGATAATTATAAAATCCTTAGTTAATACTTTTTAATAATCGATTTTATATCGAAAACGCGTCTTTAGTTATAATTAATATCGTATAAAATTTTTTACTTATTGCGGTTTGATACGTATTATATTATGTTTAATAAAGAGGTAATTAATTATATTTTATACGTCGTTAAGTCGTAATAGAAATCTTTAATTAATTAAGTTAATAACTTATTTAAAAATTACGGTTTTTTTAAAAAAAGTTATTTTTTTTTAAATTCGTATAAATTTTATATCGAGGTAATAAGCTAACGCGTTGGTTATAAAGTATTATTTTTAAAATATTATAAATAAAAGCTGCTTTTTATATAGATAAATTTAGGTCTTTTTTAATAATTTAAAATATAAGGATAATATAACTTTTATTTAAAAAAGAATTTATAATTGTATATAAAAAAAATAGTTATTAAAATAGAAAATATAAAAGGAAAGGAAAATAGGCGATTCGTTATAATAAACGACTCGCTATGTATATACGTTAATTATAATAATATTATTTTTAATTATATATTATAAATTTTTATATTATTTTTTTTAATATTATTATTATTATTTTTATTATTATTATTTTTTTTAATAATAAGTCGATAATATATAGTTGTTATTATATAAAAATAATTTATTTATTTTTATAATTTAATATTTTATTTTTTATTTATTTTATTAATTTTCTTTTTATTTTTAAATTTTATTAAAATTTTTTAAATTTTTTTAATATTTATTTATATAATTTTATATTTTAATTAATTTATTTTATTATTATTATCATTATAATAAATATTATTTTATAAATTATTAAAATTATTAATTAAAATTACGATTTTAAAATTAAGTTTATCGGTTTTAATTAAAGTATTTTTTATTTTAATTATTTAATATTATTTTATTATAATATTAAGAAGTTTATATACGTTTATAAAAACTATATAAAAAAGTATATTATTTATTTTATTTTTAAAAAAAAAATTTATAATACGTTTATTTTCGCTTTTTTTATTATATATTTATTAATTAATTTATTTAAATCGTTATTAAGCTTTACGGCGCTATTTAAATAATTTAAAATTAATTTATAAAGTTTTATAATTTTAAAATTAATAAAAAATTACTTTTTTAAGCTTATTAATATATTATTAACGCTTTTAAAATTTTAAATTCGGTATAGGGTTTAATTAATATTTATATTAAAAATCCTTTTTTTAAAATAAATAAAGCGGGTTTTAAATAAATTATAATTTAAAAAGCGTTATTTATTAAAGAATTTTTAAAATTTTTAATTTAAATATTTATAAATTTATTTAATAAGCTTTTTATATATATTCGTTATTAATTAATATTTAGGCCGATATAGTAATTAATTTTTAAAATATTAATTACTAGCTTATTTTTATATAGTTAACTTATTTTTAAACCGATAATTAAATTTTTATTTTATATAAAAATATTAACCGATTCGTTATTAATAAGTTTTATTTTTAAAATTTTAAAAATAAAAATATTTATTTATTATTATAATTTAAAATTTAAGCTATTTTTTATATTATTATCATTAATTATTTTAATAATTTAGTTTTAATTTACGCCGTAATAATTTCTTATAATATTTATATTTAAACTTTTTAAAAACTTATAGAGCGTTAAATAAAGTTTAATTTTAATAGTAATATTATTATTAAAAAGCCGGCGTTTAAATATTAGTATAAAGCTTTTAGTTTAGGCTTATTTAATTAAATTATATTTAATAATAATAATTTATTTAATAATAAATTATCTTTTTTTAAGTTTAATAAATTAAGTTTTTATAATGCTTTTATTACCTCTATTATTAATTTTCTTTTTAATTAAAACGTTAATAGCTTGTTTTTATATAACCCTATTATTAATTTTAATAATAATTTTTTGCTAAACGTCCGCCGATTTATTTCGTAACCCCGTTTTATTATTTTTAATAATCTTAGCGAGATTTATAATAACGACTTTAATTTATTTATTTTTAACATTATTATTTTGAATATTATCGCTTTTAATATTATTAGTTTAAATATTATTATTTTTAATATTATTATCGTATTTTTTTTTAAAAAAGTTTATATTTATATTTAATTTTATTAAGCGTTTTATATTAATTATAAAGCTAATTAAAAGGATTAAAAAAAGATTTAAAAAAAAGATTTTTTTATACCCCGTTTTTGTAATTTTATTATTAAAATTCTTATTAAATACCGCCGTATCGATTTTATTAAAAATAATATAAAAAGATTTAAAAAAAAATCCTTTTACGCTCCGTTTTTATAACTTTATTATTAAAACTTTTATTAAACGCCGTTATATTAATTTTATTAAACTGTTTTTAAATATTAATCTTTATTATAATATATTTTTTAATAAATTAAATAAGATTTTTATAATTTTTATTACTATTATATTACTAAATAGTCGTTTTAAAAAGTAACGTACTTTATTAATTAGCCGCGCATATTAATTAACTACGTACTTTTTCTAACTTTTTAAATATCTTATAAATTTATATAATTATAACGTAAAATATTAATTAACTTTTATAAATATTTAAATTACTAAACGATTTTGTATTTTTAAAACACGTTTATATATTATAATTTATTTTATTATATATACCGTAACGTTATTAAATTAACCGACTTTTTTTTAATAAACCTTTTTTTTATTTTTTTAAAACGCTAAACTTTTTTTTTATTTTTTTTTTAATATAATTTAAGATTTTTTTATATTAAGTGCTTTTTTAAATTAAATACGTAACTTTTCGTTTTTTAATATTTAATAAGTGTTATATTAATATTTTAAAATATACGTATTTAATTTATTAAAATCGTAATTAAGTATATTATTATTTATATATTTTTTATTCACTGGTTAATTATTTTAATTATTAATATTAAAAAGCTTTTTTAATAAGCTAAGATCCGAGTTTTAATAAAATTAAATTATAAAAACGCTTCGTAAAAGTTAAAAAACGTTTATAATTACTAAGCTAATAGTATTAAAAAATCGGTTATAAAAAGTATAAGCGTTCGTATATATATATTAAATTTTTTAATTATATAATTTAAATTTTATAATAAAATTTTAACTTTATAGAAAACGAATTTAATATTTTTATTTAAAAAGATCTTATTATAAACTTTATAAAAAGTAATAAAAAACTCGGATTTTATAATATAATTAATAAAATATTTAATAAATAAGTTAATTTTATCTTTATATATACGTTTTAAAAGCGAATAAAGCGTAATATTTAATAATTAAAATAAATAAAATAAATACGGGGGTATATTAATAATTATAATATTATTTTATTTATAATATTTGTTAAATTCGGTTAATAAATAGCTCTTATACTTATTAATTATAAATATTTAATAAATACCCTTTATATAAGCCCGAGTATATTTATCGAAATATTTAATTTAGTTTAAACTAATTTTATTATTAATTTATTTATTAATAATCGGCTTAATTACTTAGTCGCTTAAGAAACCGGATTTTATTAATTAATTAATAAAATAATAAGACTTTTAAACGATTACAAAAGGCAGGATATATTACCCTTTTAAATTAATATATTTAATAATTATAGCCTATTTATAATTATTAAACTAAATAGATTTCGCTTTTTTATATCTATTAATATACGTAACGACTATTAACTTAATAATAATACTTATTATAAAACTAATCTTATTAAAATTATATAGATCCTCGTTATTAATATCGTATTTAGTTATTATATTATTTAATAATATAAATTATTTTGAAATAACTTTTAGATCTTTTTAAAAAGCTTTTTAATAATTATATAAATAATTAAATTTAGTTTTTAAAGTCGGTTATAAATCGATAAACCTCTTAGCTTAATACTTCTTAATAGGCGTCCTATTTCGCATTTAAAATAAAAAATTAGTTATATTTTCTATATTAATAAGTTATAAAAGAAATCTTTTAAAATCCTATTTAATAACGTATTAAAAAAGTATTTTTTTAATTAAATTAAGTTTATATTATTAAAATTAAATTTAATTGCGGCGTAATTAATTATTTATTTTATTATGTAAAGTACTTTTAAAAATATTATATATCTTTATAACGCGTTATATATTAAATTTTTAACTTATAATACGTATAGCTCGGATCGCTTTAATAATAAAAATAATCTTATTTTTTTAAATATAGATTAGTATTATAATTATTTAATTATTACGTATTAAAAGTTTAAATAGCTAGGAATAAAGCGCGTTATAAAAAAAGTGTACGGCTAATTAATATACGCGGCTAATTAGTAAAGTACGTTATTTATTTTTTAATGTATTTATAATTATAAACGCTTTCGTTTTATATATTTTTAATTAGTTTTTTATATTTAAAATATTTTTTTTTAATATATTTAAAAAAAATACCGATAAGGATTATTATTTTATTAGTTATTATGCTTTTTTTAAAAAAAATACTATATTATTATTAATAATTATATTAATTATTCTTAACGAATTGTTATAATGTTTAAATAAAGTAATATAACCCGTTGAATATTTAATAATATATTAATATAAGCTCGTTATATCGCCGCTTTATATATTAAAATTAAAGTTAATACTATTTATAAATATAAACGTCGTTATATTTTATTACTTAATTTAAATTAACTACTTAATTAATAAAAGGAATTTTTATATTTTTAATATTATTAAAGGTTTTTTTTATTATAATATCGGCGTATATTATTATTTTTTTTTACGTTATTATTTTTAATTATATATTATTTATTAATTATTCTATTTATTATAAAATTTATATATTTATTTTTTAAATTTTCGGACTTTTTTTATTATATTAATTAAATATAATAAGGGCTTTTATATATTATATTTTGTTAACTAATTTTCCTATTTAATTAAATAACGTATTTAATTTTTATGATTTTATTTATTTATAAAAACTTTTTATTTTTTATTTTTTTAAGTTATTTTTTTAATTTTAATAATTTTATATTATTATTATTAATATTTTAATAAGCGTTTTAAAATTTAATTAATATTATTAAAAAAACGTTATGTATTTTTTAATATTATTTTAAAAAGTAAATTTAATAAGTTAAAAAGCTAATTTTTTTAAGAATTATAATTTATATAAAACGGGGTATTAACTTTTTATTTTTAAATTAAAAGTTTTTTATTAATAGTCTAATAATTTATTTTTAGTAATATTTTTAAACTTTATATTTTTAATTGTATTTTTTTATTTATACCTCGACCGTTTTTTATTAATATTTTTACGCTTTATATTTTAAATTTATTATATAATTTTTTTTTTTATGTTTTAAATTATAATTTTTAAAGTTAATAAGACGTATTTAATATATTTAAAATTATAATTATATAATACTTTTATTAAGAAAACTTTGATTATTAAATATTAGTTATTATTATATATAAATTTAGTTTTTAAAACTTATACGGCTTATTTATTTAATAAGCCTTCGGTATAAATACGTAAATACTTTTTTAATATTTAATAAATTCTTTTTATTTATTTATTTATTTAAAAATAATAAATAATAAATAATCGGCGGCGTATTACCCGCTTTTTTATAAATTAGTTTTAAAAATAATTAATAATAAATTTATTTTTATTATTAACTATCCTTTTAAATATATTAAACTTATACTTAACGTTTTTATATAAATAATATATTAATTAAAACGTTATAATATTATTTTAAATTTTAAAAAATATTATAAACTTTATTCTTTTATATATTATAACAAAAATATTATCGTATTTAATATTATTATTATAAAAGCTTAGTATAAGTTTTATAATAAAATTTAAATTAATTTTTTAAAATAAATATATTAATATAAATAATAATTAAAATTATTTATATAATTTATATTATAAAATACGTATTTTTTAATACGGTTTATAACTTATTATATATTTTTTAATATTTTAAAAAACGTTTAATTAATAAAACTTTTTTATAATAAAATTTATAGTTTTATTTATTTTTATATACCCCGATTTTAAATTATTATAATATTAATAAAAAATCTCTTTTTATAAAAAAAACTTTCTTAAAATAACTAGTTTTTTTTTATAAAATAAAATATTTTTAATATTTTAATAATAACTTTTTTTTATTAATTAGTTTATTAATTTTTATTAAGTATATTTAATAATTCTCGTTTTTATTTTAAAAGTTTTAAATTAAGTCTTTTAAAATAACGAATAATTATTAAAAAAATATTATTTTTTATTTTATAAATTTTTTTATAACTTTTTTAAAAATATATTATATTAAAATATTTGTTTTAATTTTTAATAAAGTCTTATTTTTAATATATTATTATTAAAATTAGTTTTTTATAATTTTATTTTTATTATAATATATATGCATAGTAAATCGCTTATTATAACGAGTCGCTTATTTTCCTTTCTTTTTATACTTTTTATTTTAATAATTATTTTTCTTTATATACGATTATAAATTCTTCTTTAAATAAAAATCGTATTATTTTTATATTTTAAATTATTAAAAAAGATTTAAATTTATTTATACGAAAAGTAGCTTTTATTTATAATATTTTAAAAATAATATTTTATAACCGATACGCTAACCTATTACCTTAATATAAAACTTATACGAATTTAAAAAAAATAACTTTTTTAAAAAAAACCGTAATTTTTAAATAAATTATTAATTTAATTAATTAAGGATTTTTATTACGACTTAACGACGTATAAAATATAGCCGATTATTTCTTTACTAAACGTAACGCGACGTATATCGGACCGTAATAAGTAAAAAACTTTATATAATATTAATTATAATTAAAAACGCGTTTTTAATATAGAATCGATTATTAAAAGGTATTAATTAAAGATTTTATAATTATTTAGGCTTAGTTTACTTTTATATAAAATACGATTATAAAATACGGAATATATAATTATAATATTTATAATTTTAATAAAACGGGCTTTTTAATAGGAATACTTTTATATGTAAAAGTTATTATAATTTTTAATCGTTATAAAAGGTTTTATATAAAATAATTTAATAATTAAAAATAGGTTTTTATTATTTAAAATATATATACGGATAGCTAAGCGCTATTTCCGTACGTTATTGTAAAAAATAAATATTATTTCTTTTCGTAATATATTAATAATTAATTCCCCCCCGAATAACGTATCTATCTTAGCAAAAATAAATAAATTATAAATAAAATCGGTTTAAATTAGCTAAAGTATTTTAAAAAATATATAAAGTTTTATACGAAGGGTATTAAGTGGCTCTTAATTTTTAATAGCTATAATAATTATAAATCGATTAAATTCGATAATTATTATAAAAAGTATAGTATTATTGCTTTTTATATATTTCCCTATTTATTATACGAGTTTTAGCTTTTTAATATTAATTATTTTAACTTATTAAAAGTTTTATATAATAAAGAAATTAAAAAAATAATACGGATATAAATTACATATATTATTAAAAACGACTTTTTTTTTATTTTTAAAACAGCTTTTTTTATTTTAATAGGCAAAAAAAACGTACGAATTAGTTTTAAATAAGCTAAAATTATATTTTTTAATTTAAAAGTAGTTATTTTTTATTTAAATTTTAAACTAAAAACGTTAATATTATTTAACTTACGCCTAAATAGCTAGGGCTTTTAAAACTTAAAAATATTAATTATAATATATAACGTCGTACGAAGCTCTATTTTACTTAAAAAACGGATTTATAATTATTAATATAACTTATTAATATATTTATATAAAATTATTAATTTATAAACTAAAAGTATTAATAAATTAGTATATAAATTAGCTTTTATTAAAGCTAAGTGCCGCGGGCTTTATACGATAAATAAAATATTAAATAAACGCTAAAAGGCTAAAAAAACATAACTACGTTTTAAAGGCTTACTTAATATTATTAAGGCCGAGGTAATCTAAATAAAAAAAGAGGTTATTAATATTAAAAACGAAAATATATATTAAAAAGATATTTATACGGAAAAGGTTAAATCGCGCGGGCGGTAATATAATAATTACGGAAAAACTAAATATAATATATAAATATATTAAATAGTTTAGGAGACTTTTAAAAAAGAGGTTAATAAGTAGTTTTAATTAATTTCGTACGATATAGCTTAATTAATTTATATAAATGGTAAGAGGGTATTTAGAAGTAGGCGACTCGCTATAATAGGCGACTCGCTATGTATATATGTTAAATAATTATTATTATAATATTTATAATATAAATAATTAATTTAAAAAACGTTTATTAAGTTATAAATATAAAGCTTATGTTTCTAATTATTTATATTATAAAAATAAATGTTTTTATTATTTTAGATTTCTTTTTTAATATTAAGATTCTTTATAATATTTTTAGTAATAATTTATTAATAAGGTTTAATTTATTAATAAAAGTTAATAATACGTTTTAAAATTATTATTTTTTTATATAATTTGGTTTTTTTAATAGCTTATCGGCCGAGTTCGTTATACTTAATTAATATTAAATATTAAAATTAAATATTAATAATTTATATATTTATTTAATAAGTTTTTTATAAAAATCTTACGTCGATATATTAATTACGCTTTTAAAAACTTAATAATTTATGAATATAATAAACCTTTTTAAAATACTTTATAAATAATACGCTTAATAATTTAGGTTTTTTATAATAACGAAAAGTTTTTATTATCTTACTACTTATTTTTATTTTATATTAATAAGCTTTTAATTAAAATATATTATAAAATACTATTACGTTTTTATTAATTATAATAAAATATTTAATATAGCTTTTTATAATATATTTATTTCGACCTTTAATTTTTTAATAAAGTCTTAATAACGTAATATAATTATTAAAAAGAATTTTTTCTAATTTATTAAAAGCTTTTTATATAATAATAAATTATAAAAAAAATTTAATTTTTTTTTAATTCGCTTTTTTTTAAAAAAAATTGTTATAAACGTTATAATTTTTAAATATTTAAAAATAAACTTTTTATAAAAATTATAAAACTTTAAAAATATTTAAATCTTTTTATATATAAAAAACGGCTTTTATTTAATAATAGTTTATATTCTTTTTTTATTTATTAATATACTTTTTAAAAAGATTATATATTTAAAAAAACTTTATTTTTATTAATAAAAGTTATATTTATTAAATTTAATATGTAAATAAAATTATTATAAGTATTAAAAGACTTTTTTTTAAATCGTTTATATATTACTTTTTTATTTTTAAAAAAATAAAAATATTATTTATAATATATATATATAGCGAGTCGCTTACTTTCTTTTTTTTTATACTTTTTATTTTAATAACTATTTTTCTTTATATATAATTATAAAGTCTTTTTTAAATAAAAGTCGTATTATTTTTATATTTTAAGTTATTAAAAAAAACTTAAATTTATCTATATAAAAAGTAACCTTTATTTATAATATTTTAAAAATAATACTTTATAAACGACGTATTAACTTATTATTTTAATATAAAACTTATATAAATTTAAAAAAAATAACTTTTTTTAAAAAAAACTATAATTTTTAAATAAATTATTAACCTAATTAATTAAAGATTTCTACTGCGATTTAATAATATATAAAATATAATTAATTACTTTTTTAATAAACGCGACGTAATATATATCGGACCTCGATAAATAAAAAACTTTATATAATATTAATTATAATTAAAAATACGTTTTTAATATAAAATCGATTATTAAAAAGTATTAATTAAGGATTTTATAATTATTTAAACTTAGTTTACTTTTATACGAAATACGATTATAAAATACGGAATATATAATTATAATATTTATAATTTTAATAAAATAGGCTTTTTAATAAGAATACTTTCGTACATAAAAATTATTATAACTTTTAATTATTATAAAAGGCTTTATATAAAATAGTTTAGTAATTAAAAATAGGTTTTTATTATTTAAAATATATATATAAATAGCTAAACGCTACCTCTATATATTATTATAAAAAATAAATATTACTTTTTTTATAATATATTAATAGTTAATTCCCTCCCAAATAATATATTTATTTTAACAAAAATAAATAAATTATAAATAAGATCGGTTTAAATTAGCTAAAATATTTTAAAAAATATATAAAGTTTTATATAAAAAGTATTAAACGGCTCTTAATTTTTAATAATTATAATAGTTATAAATTAACTAAATTCGATAATTATTATAAAAAGTATAATATTATTGCTTTTTATATACCTTTTTATTTATCATATAAGCTTTAGCTTTTTAATATTAATTATTTTAATTTATTAAAAGCTTTATATAATAAAAAAATTAAAAAAATAATACGGATATAAATTACGTATATTATTAAAAACGATTTTTTTTTTATTTTTAAAATAGCTTTTTTTATTTTAATAAATAAAAAAAACGTATAAGTTAATTTTAAATAGGCTAAAATTATATTTTTTAATTTAAAAATAGTTATTTCCTGCCTAGATTTTAAATTAAAAACGCTAATATTATTTAATTTATGTTTAAATAATTAAGGCTTTTAGGATTTAAAAATACTAATTATAATATATAATACCGTATAAAGCTCTATTTTATTTAAAAAACGGATTTATAACTATTAATATAACTTATTAATATATTTATATAAAGTTATTAATTTATAAATTAAAAATATTAAAAAGTTAATATATAAACTAGCTTTTATTAAAACTAAATACTACGGGTTTTATACAATAAATAAAATATTAAATAAACGCTAAAAAGCTAAAAAAAATAATTACGTTTTAAAAACTTATTTAATATTATTAAGGCCGAGGTAATTTGAATAAAAAAAGGGGTTATTTATATTAAAAACGAAAATATACGTTAAAAAAGTATTTATATAAAAAAAGTTAAATCGTATAGGTAATAATACGGTAATTATAAAAAAATAAATATAATATACGAATATATTAAATAATTTAAAAAACTTCTAAAAAAAAGGCTAATAAATAATTTTAATTAATTTCGTACGATATAGTTTAATTAATTTATATAAATAGTAAAAGGGTATTTAGAAATAAGCGACTCGTTATAATAAGCCACTCGCTATATATATACGTTATATATAATATAATTTATATTTAATAAGTCGGCGAGCGCTTAATAAATATATATTTAAAATAAAATTAATATATTTATAACCTTAAATAGTATTACTATATATTTAAAATACTTATATTTAATATAAAACGCCGTTTTTATTTATTTATTAATTTAATATTAATTTAATAATATATATTACGGATATTAATTTTAAAAATTTATTGAACTCCTCGTAATTTATTTAATAATTTATTAATTAATAATAATAAATAACGGTTCTTAATTATAATATTATTTATCTTTTTATAATTTATATATAGCTTTAAAATACCGTTTTTTTTAAAGATAAATATAATAAAAGTTTTTATTTTATTTATAAACGGAATAATTTTATTATTTATTATATTTTAATAATATATTTATAAAGCTCGTTAAGCTATTATTTATTTAAAAAATATATTAAGTTATGAAATAGTTTTATATTTTTTTTAAAAACTAATAATATATTTTACTTTTTTAAAAATAAGCAAGTTCGTTACCGTATTTTTATTAAATATTCCTTATTTATTTATAAATTTAATTAAAAAAATAATTTTTAATAAGTTTTTTTTTTTTTTAAATTTTTAAAAAAGCTTCTATATTTATAATTATTTTATATATATAAAAATATATACTGTTTTATTATTTTTTACGATTTTTTATATAAATATTATAAATTTTATAATTAGAATATAATTATAATATTACGTATTAATTTTAATTTTGATTATTATATTTTTTAATTTTATTAATTATTATAATAAAAAGAGGTTATTTATTTTTATATACCGAGGGGTATTTATAAATAATCGGCGTATTTTCTTTATTTTCTTTTAAAAATTTATTAAGAAGAATATAAATTGATATATATATTTTATTTCCCTTTTTCTATTATTAAATTTATATTAAAAAAAGGCTTTTATATACGCCGATTTAAAACTTAGCTTTTTAATTAATTAAATATTAATTAAGTTAATTTAAAAAATAATTATTTATATTTACGACTTTTTTTTTAAAAAAGCCTTATTATCGGATTAGAAGCCTAATTCGACCTCGAGTCAACGCCAGCGCAAAGGCTATCTAAAGGTCTTTATATTAACATTTAACCGGCGATCTAACTTACGGTTAAAACCTCTCTTTTCCACTTTACATAGAGATCAATATAAAAGTAATTAACCCTTCGTTACCACGTTTCAATTAAATAAATCACCCTATAATTACGTAAATTAATACTAATTAATAATTTAATTACTATTATAAATTAATAAAGCTATCGCAAAATAAAAAAAGCGACCCTTTAATACTGTATAGGATAAAAAAATCGTATTATTTTAACTTTTTATAAAAACTAAAAAAAACAACTTTTTAACGCCGTACGGAATAAAAGATTTCCGTTTTTTTAAACTTTTATTAAAAAAAAGGCGTTTATTATATTAATAACGCTTTTAAATAGTTTATTAATAAAACTTCTTAAATTAACTACCGACCGTTAAAAAAATCTTTCTTTTTTATACCTTTTTCAACTTTAAAAAACCTTTTTTTTTACTTTTTTTTTTATTTACTTTTCGTAATAAATATATAAATCTATTTACTTTATATTTATATTAACCGCGACCGGATTACGTAATATTTATACTTATTTTATAATTTATAAAATACGAATATAAAAAAAAAATATTAATAATAAACTATATAATTTATTTAATTTCGTAAATATAAAAAATAAGCCTTTAGTAAGGATATATTTAAATATTATGCGATTAAGAATTAAAAAAATCTTTTAAATAGATCGTATTTATGCTTTTTAATAAAAATAAAAGTAAAAAAAGTAGCCTTAATAAACTTAAGTTATATAACGATTAGATTAAAAAAGAAATCGAAAATATAAAATAAACCTCGTAAAATCTTATTTAATTTAATTTTTTTTTTAACTTTTTTAATACCTTTTTAAATAAGTAAATAAAATATTAAATTAATAACGATTTATAAATAAAAACGAGGCTATTACGAGATTTCTAAGCTTAATTAGCTTATTATAAGTACTTACTATATAAAAATAGTAAATATCCTTATAATTTAATAACGGGTATTAAAAGAAGAGGCTAGGGCTAAGGTAATTTTAGAGAAAATAAAATTAAAAACGGATTTAAAACGGTTTTTTTATACTTTTTAAAAGGAAATAAATTACTAAATAATAGTAATTTACTTAACGAATATATACGCTTTTTAGGTATTTATTTAAAGAGAAATATACGTATTTAAAATATTATTAAATTAACTGTAATTCTTTTTAATAAAATATAATAAAACTATTTAAATTAAGTTAAAAGAACTTATAATAATTAAAAACGGTATTAAAAGCCTATTTATAAAATAAAAAATAAATATAAAGAATATTATAAAGTAAATTTAAAGTATAAGGACCGATTTAACTTTTAACGATAAGTCGAGCGATAATAAAAAGCTATTGCTGTTGTTTTTAAACAGGTTAAATTTTAATATATTAAAAGTTAATACGATAATCGTTTTAAATTTTAATATAAGCTGTAATACAACCTTAAGTAAATTAAATTAAATATGAATAAAAATACTTATCCTGGATTAATAAATTATTATTAATATCTAAATATATTAAAAAAAGTAGTTATATAACGATATAGATAATCTTAATAATAATTAAATTAATACGGCGCTATTATTTATAATTAAAATATATTATAAATAAAACTTAGCCGAGCGAACCTTATTTTATTATATAATTAATAATTTAGGCTATTAGTTTAATAATTAGTTTAAACTTATAAATGAACGGATTATTAAAAGATTTAACGGATTTATTTATAATAATAGGGTTTTACTAAACTAAACGCTAGCGAAGTAGCCTTACGAGACTTTTATAATAACGGTTTAAATAATTAATTTCCTAATTTAATTTAAAATGTAAATTAACCGGGTAGTTAATTAATTCGAATAGTTTAATTAATAGATTAAAAAGCCTAAATTCTTATTTGAAATTACGAACGAAGTTATCTCGGCTTTAAAATCCATGCTAATTAAAAGGATATTACTAAAAATAAAGTTATTATTACCTTTATAAACCTCTATTACGGCTAACGGATTGTTAGTAAAAACGAGGCTACTTAGCTTCATTTAATTAAATATAAGTATTAAATCGCGATTAATTAACTATAGTTAATACGGCCTTAATCCCCTTTTTTAAATAAGCTATAAAGATTTAAACTTAAAAATAGCTAATATATAGTAATTAACCGACTTAAATAAAATCTTTTTTAAAAAAAGAAGTATTTAGGGGGAAAATACGAAGTTTTATAAGAGATTTTAATTATATTCTATACTAATTATAAAAAATTAAAATCTAAAATTATTAATATTACTTAATAATTATTATCGTTTTTATTAAAAAAGCTAAGGAATATTATTATTAAATCGTATATATAATAATCGATTAAAATAATTTTATTATAATCGTTAACGTTTTTTAAAGCCGTTTGAAAACTAATAATTAAAAAAAAAGGCTTTTTATTAAACTTAAAACTTTATCGTTTAGATTAATAATAAAAGAAATAAAAAGTAAATTAAAGATAAAAATCTTTAAAAAGCTTATTTTATAGATCGATAAGATTAATAAAACCCTATTAATAAAAGGAACCGACGAATAAAAAATCGATTATTTATTAACTATAGTTTAATAAGTTAATAAAATAAGATTTGCTTTATAAAGCTAATTTAACAATTATAAAGCGCTTTATACTTAATTTAAAACCGGGTTTAATATCGAAACTAAGATATTTAAATACTATTAATTTTAAATCGATAAAGAATTATAT